ATAAAAGGAGTCTGTCAGGGTGCAAAACCAGCCTTTCTTGGTTGCTTAGCATGTAGCAGTTGGCGTGCTGATTCCAACAGAGAGGAGAAATTTTATGTACTTTGCATTTTTTACTTGGCTTATTTAAGAGCATGTGAAGGTGGGGGAGAGAATGGATTTAGCAGGGATCGTTTGGGTATGCTTGCCACAAAGGTAGCCCTGATATGGTTGGTAATAGTTCAGTATATACTGATACATTTGGAGAGGGGGGTGGTGGTGTGTGTGAGAGAGGGATGCGTGGCAATCAGGCACTGAGTGGCTCTCTCTTCACCCATGATTGGGAGCAGGCTGGAGAGACCCTGAGGGGAGGGGGAGAGAGATTGGATTTATACCCCGCCCTTCACTGCTTACAAACTCCTTTCCCTTCCCCACAACAGACACCCTGTGAGGTAGGTGGGGCTGAGAGAGCTCTTGACAGAAACTGCTCTTTTTCAAGAACAGCTCTTATCAGAACTACGGCTTGCCCAAGGTCATCCAGCCAGGTGCAAGTGGAGGAGTGGGGAATCAAACCCGGTTCTCCCAGATTAGAGACCGCACACTTAACCACTACACCAAACTGGCTCTCAGGTGTCTGTCTGCTAGAGGGGCAAAGTAGGGGGAGCCAAGCAGAAGCCACACTGCAGTTCACATCTTGGTTTCCAATACCCACCTCAGTATTTTGTGATTAACACCTTTAGCTCTCCATTTATAGGAAGACCGAACCAAGTAAGTTTCTTCATAAAGCTCCTTTCAGCTACCGAAGTGAGATTGGTCTCTTCGTTTGGTGTCACGCTAGGACTCAGGAGACCCAGGCTTGAATTCCCACTCTGCCATGGAAGCTTGCTACGTAACCTTGGGCCAGTCACACACGCTGCCTTGCCCTACCTCACAGAATTGTTGCGAGGATAACATGGAGGACAATGTGAGCCACTTTGGGGCCCCACTGGGAGAAAAGCAGGGTATAAATTAAGTAAATAAGTGGCTTTCAGCTGCCCAGATGAGGCTTGTGTCCTCTGGCAGTGAACAAAGGTGGTGGTGGTGGGGAGGTGTTGTGACCTTCAGTAGATGAAAATGTCACATATTCAACTGGCCTGATCCTATACAAGGGCTAGATGGAGTGTGATAAGCAGAGGATATGTATCCTCTTTGCTTTGTGTTGTGCTAAAAACTAGTCTGCTCCCCCCCCCCCATGCAACTTGTTAGTTCAATTACATTTCTAACCCTTTCCTCACAGAGTTTACCTCAGTTGCTTTTGCTAGGCAACCTTGAAATCTTTCAGTAAAAGGCAGGGGGCCAGGCCTCTTTCTGGGGCTGGGTTGGCCTTTGATGGAGGCTTCATTGGGGCCAGGCCTGGTAGCAACCGCTGGACAATTCGCTACCACCTGACTTACATGACGCAGCCCGGCCCAGCTGCTCTGCCACTGTTCAACAGCAGCAATTTCAGAATTAGTCTCCCAGATTCACGTTTGAATGCCCACACTGCTGTGGAAACTCACTGGGTAGCTTCAGGACAGTCATGTTCTAAACCTAACCTGCCTCATAGAGTTGTTGTGAGGATCAAATAGAGAGGACAGTGAATGATATAAACTGCTTCTGGTCCCCATCATGGAGAAAGGGTGGGTATAAATGAAGTAAATACAAATATATCCAAAGATTTGGGGGGAGGCAGATAAAAATTAGGTGGGTGGGTGTGAAGGAGGGAAAGAAGGAAACGTGAGACTATAGAGGTTTTCAGAAGACGGGGAGAGAGAAATGCCCCTCAAAAGTCCTTGCAAGTTCCCCACCAGTGGCGGTAAAGGTAAAGGTTCCCTTGCTCGAAAGCCAGTTGAATCCGACTCTAGGGTTGCGGTGCTCATCTCCGTTTCCAAGCCGAAGAGCCAGCGCTGTCCGAAGATGTTTCCGTGGTCATGTGGCTGGCATGACTAACCACCAAGGCGCACGGAACGCTGTGGCAGTAGCCACTACAAAATGCACCTGAGTGGCTTGCTACTGCATGACTTTTGCAACTTGGCCAGATTTTTCCCAGGGAAAGGCTGCCAAAGGGAGAACAGAAGGAAGGAGGGAAAGCTTGAGAGCCTGTGTAGTGGTTAGAGCAGGGATCCCCAACACCGCGCCTGTGGGTGCCACGATACCCACCAAGTATGAAAAAGTGGGCAGGGCTAGGTGGGGCTTTAGCACAACAGGGCCTCTGGTTGGCTGTGCATCCTGTTCAACAGAGCTTCTGCATGAAATGCTGGAGAGCTACTATTAGAGTTTCACAATCTCAGTTGCTTGAGATTTTGTGGCTGTGCCCACCACCTGTGTCAGAATTCCAGGCTCAAAAAGGTTGGGGGTCCCTGGGTTAGGGTGTCAGATTAGGATCTGCAAGACCCAGGTTCAAATCTCCACTCTGCCATCAGTGACCTTGGTTTAGTCATACTTGGCAAAATAGAGAAGAGAATGATACAAGATGCTTTGGATCCCCATTGGGGAGAAAGGTGGGATATTAAAGCTGAAAACTAGTGTTTTTGGGGTGTTTTTTTTTTTTTTTTAAAGGCTGGCCAGTTTTATTTAATATCCACTAGATGATGATATGGGAGCTGCTACCAGAAGAGAGAGATTGTGGGGAAGGGAAAAGAAAGTGACCCCTGTAAGTCCTTGCAAGTTTCCTTAAATTTTGTTGCCCGAAACATGTGTGTCAGATAGAAGGTACATCCCGTCAATCTGGGTTTTCCCTTTTGCCCCTGTAATTAGCCTAATGCAGGTTGCAGCTTTTCTTTTCTAGCCTTAACACTGGGAAAATAATATGGGTAAAAGATCTCCCACCCCCTAAAAACTGCATTACTAAGCATATCGTGCACCACTCCAAATCAGGTTAGATCTTGAATTCCACATCAAGTGGGTGTTTTGAGCAGCATTCTCTGCATCCTGATGCTTGTTCTAATGTAATAGAACTGCAGTCATAGAAGTACCCACTCTGCAATATAAATAACGCAATGCCTAAATAGTTTTGAATCTGTCACTGACCATTTGCTTGGCATTTTAAAAGCTTCACCACATTCTCATGTAGGCCTGACCTCTTTTTATAAATGGGTGCTATGCTTAGTTTAACTGTCCATTCTTGCTCTGCCAGGCTAGTCTTCCTTGCAAAGGACCCAGCTCAAACTTTGAGTGATGTTACAGAAAATGGTCTCTCGTAGTACCACTGCCCATTCACATTCCTTGCTTCCCCCCCTGGCATCGGTGAGTGAGCAAAGGATAAGAAACTTGGGGAGGGTGAGAGGATAAAATGTATAGTGAAGCTTGTGGATCAGTAACCAACTTTCCACTTGATGGGCTGATGGCCTTGTAAAGAAACACAAGGATTTTGCTCTGATGTACTAAACTAGTATGCAGTCCTCAAAATATAGAAAGCATCCTATAGCTTAGCTAAGTCAGTGTGACAAAGCTAACCCATTAGCCCAAGTTGTAGCTCATATCCAGACAGCACATCAATTTTTTCTAAAGCTACACAGCCCTTCCCCTCAGTTCATTTCTAATGTTTAGGTAAACATTGTCTCCACAGTAGGGACCATTCTTGTGAGTGGGTAAAAGATGTGCCCCTTCTATCACCACTACACTGTAAATACTGCATAACAGAACAGCCCTATTGCACATAATAGTGGTGTCCTGATGAGTGACACAAACCTTACTGGAGCTTGGTCATCTTTAGCCCAAACGTTGGGTCCCTAAAGTGGGCCAGAGATGCACTTGCCAAGCCACATGTTTTTACAGATGCACATGTTCTAGTTTGCACAGAGTGCAAAGCTATCATACTTCCTGCCTCTTTCTCAGCCCACATGGTGGGGAAGGTTCCTTTAGCTGAGGCAGTGCTATTCTTCCCATAATGCAAGTGTTGTCACGTTAATTCATGCTAGAGGCTTGCAGTTCAGCA